CTTTTGTTTGCCACATTACCGCCGTCTTTACCGCCTGGTTGAGTTCAACAGATAACAGTAGAGAGATAGTTGAAGTCAGAAAGTAGAGGACAGATAGTGAAAGATGGAAACTGGTGAGCCACAGGGTGGCTTATTTGGTTTATAAAATCAACGTCACATTTGCAAGTGCACTCACATGCCTATGCTTAGGAAAACTGCACTCTTGCTTGTGTGATTACTTAATTATATCATATCTAATAAATATAAAATACAAAAACAGGGCTCCAGACTGCATGTGACCATTTTTTCTGCCAGTGCGAGTAAATTTTGTGCGCGGTCGCACTGGCGCAACCACCGCGTTGTTCAACTCGCACAGCCGTTTCTGTCGCATATGAGAAACAGCAAACGAAACAAAAGCGTAAAAAAATCCCGCTACTCGTTTGGCAGCAGAAGAGCACTTAATTGGCTTATTAATCATTCATTTATACTTTTTCCTTTATATTTTGAAATTATAAAATAACAATTATAAAATCACTATTATAAAATATCAAATCATCAAGAAATCATTTTTTTTGTTTTTTTGTTTATGAAGTAAAAAACATCAGAGTGCTTTAAAAAACAAATTTTAAAAAACAAAAAACAATTTGCGACTAAATCACACATAATCACTGAAGTTGTTGGTCAGTTTCATATAAGACAGTAGAAGAATAATGGTTTAATAAGAGTACAATATATATATATATATATATATATATCTTTTCTACATAAATTAGATTTTGCACGTTACTGTTGTTAATAAAATACATTTTGTAAGCTTCCCAACTCAATCTTAGTGCTTTACTGTCAAATGTGTTTAAACATGAAATAAACAAGAAATGAACATGTAATATTATTAGTAACTGCACTTATTAATGCAAAACAATAGTAATTTTATCATATCATATATATATATTTGTCATATCTCTCTAAAATTAAAAGAATACTGCACATTGTAATCTCTATGAGTTAAGTCTATTTATTATCAAAGCATTGGTCAGTAATACAGTTAAAATGGGGAAAATATGTGAACGATTGCATTGCAGGATGATTTAAGGTGTGCCCCTACATTTTCTGCTTGTGCTCCTAAAAATTTTCAGTCAGGGACTACAGTGCTCCTAGTAATAATAGTTAATCTGGAGCCCTGTTTATATGATGACTTTACTGTTTACAGTAATACCCTTTGGGGGAAAAAATACAATTTTGGGTCTTGGGAATAAAATGACAATACTGTACCATCAGTAGGCCTGTCGCAATAATCAATATATCGACTTATCGCGCACTACAGTGCTCCTAGTAAAAATAGTTAGTCTGGAGCCCTGCAAAAACCTATACAGGGATATTTTTGCCTTCATAACTTGAATTATATGCGCATTCTAACTGCTTTCTAATAGATGTTCTTTTCTTTTCCAACAGCCCACTGTTTGTTACTTGGAAAATCGGCCGGGACAAGCGGTTAAGGGGTTGTATAGGTACATTTTCTGCCATGAACCTGCACTCAGGACTCAGGGAGTACACCCTTACCAGGTATGCCACATCCCTCTTTGAAATTCTGCTTTTCTCTTTCTAATGTGTCTTCTAATGTGATATTATTTATGATAATATTTATTACCAAAATATGAGGATTTCCTGTTTTAACACGTTACTACATCTTGATTTAGCTTTTCTTGAAAAAAATATTTTTAATAGTGTTTTTTTTATTGCACCTCTAGTGGCGCCAAATGGAATTGCAAAATAAATAAATACATTAAAAAATAATAATAATACATAATAATTAGTGTCTCTAAACAGGTTTCCTACACTTTTTCCACCATCCCCCTTTTCTATTATTAAGTTAACACATTGTCCTACCCCAAGCGCACACCACTGAAATGTTATTTTTAAAATATGTTTTGAAAGCACTGCAGTGTCTATACCATGGCTGTTAAAGGCTATGTTCAGACTGCAGGCAAAGGTGGCCCTAATCTGAATTTTGTGAGTCACAAATGTGACTTGAATAAGTGTGAATAGCACAAACCACATGAAATCTGACATTTTCTTTTCTTTTGATTAGTTAGAATTTTGATCCTAAATTTAACATGCAACAAATGATTTTTTTTGTGCTCAACATTAATTGCACTCCCTCTCTACTGACAGGAGTAATAATAATAATAATAACAACAATACATTTGTTTGGTTTCTTGAAAATATCAATGTGAATGTGATGTGGACTGAGCCACTTTCACAACTAAAAAGAGGTTTGAGTCTACTTTAAAGTTTTAAAGTCAAGGCATTAATCTTGACAACGTTTTGACGGTAAACTCCATTTTAAACAATTGTGAGTCTCGCATCCAGAATGCCATTTGGTTGTTTTTTGCTTTTTTGTAATTTCAGCAAAATTGCAGTCTGTACTGGACTGCCACCAGTTTTCACTTTTCAGGAAGAAGTCAGCCCTACTTGAAGTTGCCTATGCACTTTAACACTTGTACATGCATTGCCTGTAAAGAACATCTTAGACGTCTCTTTCTCAAGCAGCTGCTTGACCTTGCTTCCAAGCTAGTCATCCATCTCTAGAACTACAGCCACATTCTTCCCTCAGCAGGAACGGAGACACCAGAACAGATGCTTGGGTCTTGGCTCGGCTCAGCCCAGCATTCGCTGCCAAATTCCCACTTCTCCATCCTCTCGTTAACTTTGAAGCAGCTTATATAACCAATAACAATGTTGTTAACCTCCAGGCTTCCACATTCGGTTTGTGAATCAGTCTGGTGTCAGAGGTGGCAATGAGTAAAGTAATGAGTATAGTAATGCGTTGTTGTGGCTAGAATTAAGCATCACGAGTGCTGCTGCCATAAACTTTTTAATCTATACAATAAAAGTCACTTTGGTGCATGCAAATAAAATGTTGAAATTCTCTATGTATAATAATAATAATTTACAGAATAAACTCCATAAGTATTGTAACAAGTCCTGCACAAGTTCATGCATGTTTTCGTCACCTAGCATTAACATCCATTTCATATCCGGATAGTATTTAGATATTTTTATTTAGGATGACTTTAATGTGGTCTTATTTGATCCGATCGCAAAAATGCATGATAATTACAGTTGCAAATGAGGCCAATAAGTGCAATTCCATGTTCAATTCAATTTTCAAATTCTTAGAGTTTTTTTTCCCCCATATTTTTCCAAGCCCTGTTGGATATTTTTGGTCAGTCATTCATGAGGGATGTTTTGTTTTTATATCCTGCATGCATATTTCCTGCATATGCCAAAATGTGCCAAGAGCTTACCAAACAGTCTACAAAAACTGAAAAACTGTGCTGTGGATCGTTTTACATTTAGTGCTTTATGTCATGTTCTGTGCACACACTGATGGAGAAATAGTGAAGCTTTAATCAGCTTAATTGCTTCTCGTGGGTAATGAAGTAGTGGTGAAAAACACAAGCAACAGTTGACATCTGGGAAATGTTCTCATGGGATCTGTCAGCATTAGGAAAGCTACATGGAGTACAGAGCATTTGATTTGAAAGTAGGTGTGTTTTGGCACAGCTCTTCACTGTGTATTTGAGAAACTTAAAATTAAAAATGAAAATCTGCATTCATTTACTCATTGTCATACCATAGGTACTGATCCCATGGTTGCTTGAAGAATGGCAGAGCACCCACGAAAAAAAAAATCTCACATCAGGTCCCTACGGGTGGTTATACACACAAATGCATTTTTTTTTTAGAGTGACTAGTTAAGTTCGTTCTGTTCCCAAAATCAGTCACTAATCTTGAAAAATGCAAGCATTGAATCAGACTTGTCATTATTAATGATATTAATCTTCAGTCATTTATGGAGGGCCATTCCAAGATTGATGATCAACCCACAGACATGATAGAGTACATCAAATGTGTGACATCTGGCAACCAAAAATGTAATCTTGTATCATGATATGAATAATTTATGATAATAGTTTATATTGCAATAGTTATTTTGTTGAAAATGTAAATGTTAATAAATAAATAATATATATGTAGTAATAATAATAATAATCATAATAAATGTATTATATGTGTATAATAGTAGTAGTAGTAGTAGTAATAAAGTAATAATGATTTCTCAAGTATTTCATTTTTTAATTTTAATTTTAGTTTTTTCAACAGTCAATCCTGGAATATATTCCAGAAAAATGTATAAAATATGCTGTCACAATATTTTTTTCCCGTATCGTACAATATTGATATTCATCATGATATTAATTTATCATTAATGGGCAAGAAATGCTTTCCACATGTTGGTTTGAACTTGAGAATGACTGTAAACATAACTAATGGTGTCTAATGAAATGAATTAATAACACATTAACAATTTAATCAATCATTTAAATGAAAATCAGTTTACAACAAAACATTGCATTTTATTTTTTTTTCAGATAAGATGCTGCACAACAGAACTGTATAAATTCATAAAAAAAAAATAACTTGATTGTCGTGATGGCCTTTCAGTTTTACTTTAAGTTTTAGTGTGTGTTTGAAGTAGAGGTCTGCGCGGGACTGTTTTTTTAGTCCCGCTCCCGCAAGATTCTATTGCTCTGCTGTGTGTCTAACCCTCCCGCTATATATTCACTCTTTGTTCACCCGCTGTCCGCTTAGAATAATTTTCTTCCCGACCCGACTGTTCCCGCAAAATTTAGATCTCGTTTCCAGAATCTCACATTTAAATTTCCGCTACTGAAAGGGAGAGAGATAGGCTGACAAATAAAAGTGTAGTCTGCACAAAATTGTATGTTATTTTATTCGTCTTGTCAAGAGTCTTGAATTTATTGGCTTTGACTTGAATTTATATGAATTATCATAAGACACAAAATTCGTTTAATATTTTATGCAACACAGTAGGAAAAACGTGTCAGAGAAAATAAAAATGTTGTACAAAAATTGTATTTCTTATTTTATTCGTCTTGTCAGGATACTATTTGTTTAACATTGACAACACAATAGGGAAAAAGTGTCACAGAGAGACAAAAAAAAAATGTAGGTTGTACAAAAATAGCCTATTAGCTATTTTTATTCGTCTTGTCAAAATACTAAATTCGTTTGACATTTTTCTGTTAACACAGTAGGAAAAGTGTCGCAGAGAAAAATAAATAAATATGACATCTTTCATTTAAAATTATAGGCTAAGCAAAATATAAACAAAACCGAGTTGAACGTCCTTCAATGAAAGCGCATCCACACTTTGCTCCATCCTTATTCTGCTCTGTCACTCATCGACAACCTGCCTGTTCTGTCTGAGGGCCGTATATTTACCACCGGTACAGCCTGCTCTGAGCATATGAACATGCTGCGCACAGACCATGCAAATAAAACGCGTGACGTTTAAAGCATGCGTGCAGCGCGTGCATAACAGTCCTGAGCGCAAGCTGTACCGGTGGTCAATAAGAATAAAGCGCAGATATGCTGTTCTAAATGGACGTTGGGAACGGGATATTGTTAGACCACCCGCTCGCGTTCAAATTACACCAGAGTTACCGACTGCTACCGCGTTTTATTTGGGAATTTAATCCTGCGGCGCAAAAAAATCCGGTCGGGTCCCGCGGTTCCTGACCTCTATACAGACCTCTAGTTTGAAGGAAGTGTTTCTAAAATGAATTGGTGTAAAGCTGGTAAAATGACTCTGAGCAGCTCTGGAGATGAAGTTCATGTGTTCATATCCTCATATATTAAGACACTGAAATCACTGCGAGTGTCACGTGTGTTTGAGTTTGTGTATCAGTCGAAACCGCACCATTCATTCACATGCAGACTTTTTAATGGCAAGCACAGACTGGCTGCTGTCGTGTTTGTTTCTGCTGTGTGATAGAATGTTAGATTAATCCATACAGTTATGGAGTAAAAATATCCAGAGCTTATTATCGTTATCCACATACATTTTTATCGTGATCTTGATATGACATTGTTTATCGCCCAGCGCTAATTCAGGCTATTTATAGAACGTGCTTGGCGGCCGACTCAGAGACTCCATGCAGGCTACCTGACTTACAAAGTTTGCCAAAGGAACCCTGCTTCCTTATTTCTTCTCTCACTGTTGATCTTTCTTTGGTGATGGGTTTTCCTTATGGAGTCTTCTCTTTCTGAGACATTATGACCTCGTCTTTTGTGTCTGCCAGTTTTTGTGTCTATGAATCTAGATCAACTCACTAGGTTGTTACACAACTAGTCATTCTGACCAATACCTATTCATACTCGTAAATACTTGTTCATCGCAATTTTTTTTTAATTGTGTCAGGCTGCTAGATTTATACCTCAGTTTTTTTAATTGAATGTTAATCATGGTTTCACATTGTACCCATGGTATGGCTTTGTCCTAAATCTTGTGCCTTCATGTCGTCTTCACAGTGCCCTTAAAGACAGTCGCTTTCCCCCCATGACGAGGGACGAGCTGCCGCGCCTCTTCTGCTCAGTGTCTCTGCTCACCAACTTTGAGGATGTTGGTGATTACCTAGACTGGGAGGTAAGAGCGCAGAAGCTATTACCATCTGTTATTCACAAGATTAAACAAACTCTCTGTACACTTAAGGTTTTTTTTTTGCTGCACACGTTTTAGTTATAAATGCCACTTGCCACTAAATCACTGTTCCCTGAAGAGGTAAATAGGTGTCTGTTCACTGAATTATTTGCACGAGTTTTATTTAGGGTCAGTCTTATGTGGTCCAACAGAGACCACCATTTGAAATGGGAAGTCTGAACCGCTAACCTGACCAGGCCACTAGAAAAAATATTTAGCGTTAACCCTAACATGGAATTTCACAGGGCTGGGTGATTTTTCCGATATTATCGATACATTTGAATTTAATGTTTTGCCATGATTTTATTTTTCATAAAACAAGGAATCGTGATTTTGAATAGAACTATTACCAAACAGTAGAATTAGACGCGTTGATAATGTTAATGATAACAGTTAAGAGAAAAGAATGATCCAACCTCATGATGGTGCACGAGATGCGAGTGCAACGGTCAAACGCTTCCATCAGGCACATTTTTAAATAGAAGAAAAACAATGAAAAGCAGCACAGTGGAGTAATAATAATAAAGAAAACTGTAAATAACTACTACTAGGCTGAAACTGCTGTTAGTTTGTTTATACAAAACATTTAATAATAGTCTACTGGTGTTTTACTTTTAGTCATTTTGAAATGGAATTTTATTGACTTTTGAGGCTTTTTTTAACATTCTTTGATACTATTTCTGAACATATGTTTGACAAGTTTGAACAATATGTGCCTTCATATTGCATGCATCTTTTCTGCTAAATATAACAAGTGAGTCAAGTTACATTTGCACCATGTTGAGCACTTCATGTGTGCTGCACTTGGAATAGAACTTTCTTCAACTAGATGGTTAATAAAGAAAGTGTTAATTGAATAATGTTGTAATTGCATTTTTAAGTTGACTAGATAAATGTAAAAAAAAAAAAGCAAATTGAAATCGAGAATCTGTCAAATGTTCGGGGGAAAAAAAATTAAAAAAATTGAGATTTCGTTTTTTGCCATATCGCCCAGCCCTAGAATTTCATGCCTTATACCAATAACTGATATTTTTAATTTATTTTTTAATTAAATAAAAAGTACTATTTGATTAAATATAAGCTGCTTAGTTTAACAAGTGTGACACTTACACATGTTATGCTGATTTAAAGAGTCATAAATGAAAATATAGCTGCAAGCAGCAATGATGCTGTGCCAGGCATGGATTTAGGAAAACAATGCACAGTGAGCACATGCATTTAACCCTCTGGTAGTCTTTGGTTGTTAGTGATGAAAAAACCTACAATGCTCAAAAAAATTAAAGGAACACTTTTTAATCAGAGTATAGCATCAAGTCAATTAAACTCCTGGGATATTGATCTGGACAGTTAAGTAGCAGAGGGGGTTGTTAATCAGTTTCAGCTGCTTTGAAATTAACAACAGGTGCACTAGATGGGCAACAATGAGACGACCCCCAAAACAGGAATGGTTTTACAGGTGGAGGCCACTGACATTTTCCCCTACTCATCTTTTCTGACTGTTTTTCACTAGTTTTGCATTTGGATAGCATCAGTGTCACTACTGGTAGCATGAGGCGATACCTGGAGCCTACAGAGGTTGCACAGGCAGCCCAACTTCTCCAGGATGACACATCAATACGTGCCATTGCCAGAAGGTTTGCTGTGTCTCCCAGCACAGTCTCAAGAGCATGGAGGAGATTCCAGGAGACAGGCAGTTACTCTAGGAGAGCTGGGCAAGGCCATAGAAGGTCCTTAACCCATCAGCAGGACTGGTATCTGCTCCTTTGTGCAAGGAGGATCAGGATGAGCACTGCCAGAGCCCTACAAAATGACCTCCAGCAGGCCACTGGTGTGAATGTCTCTGACCAAACAATCAGAAACAGACTTCATGAGGGTGGCCTGAGGGCCCGACGTCCTCTAGTGGGTCCTGTGCTCACTGCCTGGCACCGTGGAGATTGACTGGCATTTGCCATTGAACACCAGAATTGGCCAGTCCGCTACTGGCACCCTGTGCTTTTCACAGATGAGAGCAGGTTCACCCTGAGCACATGTGACAGACGTGAAAGGGTCTGGAGAAGCCATGGAGAACATTATGCTGCCTGTAACATCGTTCAGCATGACTGGTTTGGTGGTGGGTCAGTGATGGTCTGGGGAGGCATATCCATGGAGGGACGCACAGACCTCTACAGGCTGGACAATGGCACCCTGACTGCCATTAGGTATCGGGATGAAATCCTTGGACCCATTGTCAGACCCTTCGCTGGTGCAGTGGGTGCTGGGTTCCTCCTGGTGCACGACAATGCCCGGCCTCATGTGGCAAGAGTATGCAGGCAGTTCCTGGAGGATGAAGGAATTGATACCATTGAATGGCCCCCACCCTCGCCTGACCTACATCCAATAGAACACCTCTGGGACATTATGTTTCGGTCCATCTGACGCCGCCAGGTTGCACCTCAGACTATCCAGGAGCTCAGTGATGCCCTGGTCCAGATCTCGAAGGAAATAACCCAGGACACCATCCGTCATCTCATTACAGACGTTGTCAGGCATGCATACAAGTACGTGGGGGCCATACAAACTACTGAGTACCATTTTGAGTTGCTGCAATGAAATTTAAACAAAATGGACTAGTCTGCTGCATCATTTTTTCACTTTGATTTTCAGGGTGTCTTTGAATTCAGCCCCTCTGTAGGTTGATGATTTTCATTTCCATCAAACAATGTGGCATCCTTTTGTTCCTAACACATTACTCAGTCCATATCAGTATAGATATCCAGCATGATATTTTTCCCCATTGAGATCTGATGTGTTTTCAAAGTGTTCCTTTAATTTTTTTGAGCAGTGTATTTTGTTTACATTTTTCTAATAATCAGAATGGTATGATACTTCATGATTTTAGTCACACTTGGGAAAAGGCTAATTGGTCTTAAAAAGTAGCCATACCTGTATTCTCATTGGTCTAGCATAACCCCAGTAGGAAATGAAAGGAAATGAATAAACATATGTTTAAACACACAAACAAATCAGGAAAGCAAGTGCTCACCACAGAGTGCACCGCAGCTCAGTCTGGAGCTCGAAACAACTTCAGAGGTGAGACCCTCTGAAGTGATAGTTTTAGTTTATTCTGACCCTCTCAAGGTCTGCCCACATGCACACAAGCGCAGCCCTCAGCCTACAATGTCGACAAATGGTCTGGCCACTGCAGGATAGCTTGCAAATTGCGTGATCAGAGAGCAAATCTGGGATGTGCAGAATTAGCTACTCACCGCATACTCGCTTTCAAATGAAGCACAAGCTCACAGATTTAGCCTGGCTTTATACTGTGAAAGCTTGATGATTCAGGCCGTGCAAACATACACATAGGCACATACTGTCCTTGGTGACCTACAACAGTGCAGACAGAAATGCGCCCTGGGTGAGGAGTGACGATGATGTCTTGTGTATGTGTGTGTGTGTTTTTTGTAGTGTTAGCAGTGTTTTTCCTTACTGTTAGCTGACTGAGACTCTTATGCAGAGTGCTGTGCTGTACTTGGCCTGCAGGCATTTAACAGCTACATCCAGATAATAGACAGTCCCACCTTAGGGTCACACTTTAGTTGTTTAGAAAAACTAATCTGGCTTACGCTGCGTCTTCCTCTTAAAATAGTTTGATAGGATGTGTGTCATTCAGATAGAAGTCACTAATCCTCTTGCCACATCTATTCTGCATTCTTTTCCTGTCTGTTCACACAACCATCATGTTCAGATCCTGGAGATCAGATAGCAGGTCTTCACATTATGTAATTCTGCTGCCATTCTATGTGTATTCATCCCTTTTGTCAGCAGTTACCCAGTTCGGAGCTAGACTGTGTTTACACAAGCCCAGAGGCAAAGTAGTGAACCGGAAGTGTATGTCTGCTTTAGGAATCCTTCACTAGTGGTTTGTCAGTGCAAGCATCACTATTGCTTCTACCTATGGTTAGGGATTTAAACAGTCTGATTTCTTTAAGTGATGAAACAGACGAAAAATCCAGTAGAAATACACTGGCTGCACATTCTTGCACAATAACACCCTGGAATTATTCTGAACTTTTCATTGTTCTGATTATGTAAACATCATGTAAAAGCAATAACTAGATTAATCCAATATTCCAATTTCTATCTGAATAAGACAACAGGTTTATATTTATAGGACCATTTTATATATACATACACACACGTGTGTGTCTGTTAGTGTTGTCAAAAGTACCGACCACGATACCATTCGGTACTGAAATTTTAAAAATGTCCATTTCCCGCTAAGATTTGAGCGCTGTTGAGCAGATTCTGAAGCAATGATCATTAAAGCCAATCACAGTCGTTTCTGTTGAGCACGTGAACACAATGACCAATCAGCTCTGTTTAAGAATCTGCTCAACAGCGCTCAAATCCTAGTGGGAAATGGGCGTTTTTAAAATTTCAGTACCGAATGGTATCGTGGTCAGTACTACTGTCTGTATGCATGTATAATAATTTGGACGTATATACTGAATGAAGACTCTGGTAGATGTAAACATCTGTTACAATGGTAGACACTGTAAACAGACTGTGTTGTCACATCTATGAATATGGGACTATTGATGTAAACTACTTGTGTTTTGTATGTACAATAGGCAGAATAATTGCAAGAAAAAGGAAAAAAAGGTGGAGATAAGGTTAGAAAGCATGAAGCTTGCGGTTTCAGAATGCCAGTCTGAAGCCTGAAGCAGGACATAGCCCATAGTAACATGTTATGGCAATGATATCTCCTATAGTCTGATGCCAAATAAAAATAAACAGTTAATAAATGACTTTCAAGTGATTAGTTTCAAAAGAGTGTATTAAATATTGTAACCGCGCAAGAACAGACCTCATTAGATCTTGAGCATCATGCTCATTTCAGCAGCTTTTTTTTTCCCTTTTAATGGGGTTAGCAAAAACCCACTTGAAGGACATGACAAAATCAATAATGGTGGCTTTGACAGTTACAGATTTGAAAACAGAAACTGGAAAAAGGAGCCCCAAGAAGTATTGTCCCATCCTCTGCTGGGAAGGAAATATAGAGATCGTACCTCTTGGAACTTTAATTAAATACTCCTGCCATAGATTCCTTACCTCGAAAGTAAGGGTACAAAGCTTCCATCACAAATAACTATTAAAGACTAATAAATTGACCAGGTGAGAGCTGCCTTTTCTAAACATTTTATTTTTTTACACAAGCTATATGTAAATGGATCATTTCTGCTTTCATTTCTGGGGCTTGATTGTGCCTCCTCTGGGCTTTCAAAGTCTGTCCAGAGTAGTGCTTAAGGTGTGATCATGGCTCGAGGCAAAGATTATGAAGGAGAGGGTTAGTGCTGCTGCTCATTTTTCATTTTTTCATATACAATTACCAGCTAATATCAACACTTAATATATTTAAAACCATTTTCAGCTAAAAACAGACCATGAGTGTTTGAAATGAATTGCTTTCTGATCAGCTTGTGAGATTTTTATGCAATGCTAAATGTTATGTATGCTAACCATTGCCATAATACTAGAGATGCACCGATTGCAATTTTCTTGGCCGATTCCGATTTTTTAAATGTATTTTTTTGTAAGTGTGACCTGCCGATACCGATTTTTGCCAATTATAATTGACAGCATATGCAAACAAAAATCTGCTTTTTTTCAATGCAAACAAATATTTATTTACGTAATAAAAGTAATTATTAAACATTACAATTCCCCCAATTTGGACAAAGTTACAAATGATCTCACACTTGAACAACTGCTGTATATAACTAAACGGGTGTCATTTCCCACTTTGTTTATAAATGATAATTTCCCCCCCCAACCTTATCAAATGTCATCTTTCACATCAAATTGTTACATTGTTTCAATTAATTCAGTTAGAATAATAAGAAACTGTAGAGTTTTTACCATTCAGATGAAATCAGCATAAAAAAAACTTCCCATCTTTCCACTGCAGGAAACACAGAAGCTGCATCTGTGCATTTACACAGACTGTTTGAATAAGCTGAGGTGCCATAAATGCATATATACCGCAAAATTGCAAATGCATAAATAATTTTACAAGATCAATGTTTTAAATATTTTTTGAAAATACGAATAAGAAAGGTTGGAAAAATACAACAATGCTTTTATACAGTGGTGGCCAAAATGATTAGAGCATTAGTATTTCCACCAGCTAAAAAATGGTTTCAAGTCAGTTATTTCTATCTTTTGCTGTAGTGTGTGAGTAGAAAATATCAATTTACATTTCCAAATATTAATTTTGCCGTTTTAGTTTTTTGTTCGCACAAGGAGTCTGACAACAGCCAGTGCTCCACACAGAGACCTGATCTGATCATCATCAGTCTGTCTGGAATGACATGAAGAAACAGAACAAACTGAGACAGACTAAATTCGGAAGAACTGTGGCAACGTCTCCAAGATGCTTCAAGAAACCTTCCTGCAAAGCTCCCTGAGAAACTATGTGCAAGTGCACCAAGGGCAAAAGCTGCTTTAAACACAAAGGATGCTCACACCAAATGTTGATTTCATTTAGTTAATAGAAGTTAATTGATAAAGAAAATCTATTTATGACATTATTTTTGACAGCATCCTCATTTTACAGCATTTTTACAAAAGGGCCTAAAACTTTTAACAGTACTGGAGCTTTGCAGGTAGGTTTCTGAGGCGTCTTGGAGACGTTGCCACAGTTCTTCTGGATTCAGTCTGTCTCAGTTTGTTCTGTTTCTTCATGTCATTCCAGACAGACTGATGATGATCAGATCAGATCTCTGTGTGCAGCACCGGCTGCTGTCAGATAAAAATCTCACTGGATTATTACAATTAATGGCAAAATGAATGTTTGGAAATGTAAACTGATATTTCCTACTGACACACTACAGCAAAAGATAGAAATAACTGACTTAAAACCATTTTTTAGCTGGTGAAAGTACTAGTGTTCTAATCATTTTGGCCACCACTGTATATGAAATCAAACCACCAGTAAGTGGCGGCAAATGACTGTTTTAATGAGTCAGTCATTTAGTCATTCATTCAACCTATTCATTTAAACGGCTGATTCATTCAGAATCGAGGCATGTGACTGTCTTTATAAATCAATGACTCACTCGATTCGTTCAAAAACGTGGATTCATTCAGTAACAAAACACTGCTGTGTGTGTGTTGCTTGGAGACACAACAGTTCTGCTGTGGCTTTGATTGGAACTATTTTCGTCAGCGAAATTGAGCAAAAACCGTCAATATTGGTCACTGGTCACAAATTAAGTCACTTAATTTTAACTTCTTTTTTATTGAATTAAGATTGTATAAAATCAGTGTCACATTGCAATCATTTTAATATTTGGGGAAACATCTTGGTTGTGTAAATCAAATATTATAAATATATATTTTTTCTACCGCAGTATGCATCTAGAACTTTGTGTGTACATTTGCACTCATTTGTTTTGATTTCTGCACAAATCTCTCTCTCACACATTCACTCAGGCTGCGCGAGCCTCATGGCACAACATAAATACATTATCAGTCTCTGTTTACACTGAATGCAATAGAATCAGAATCATTCTTGCGCGAAAATTTTTGGTGGTCACGTTTCAGTGCTTCCCTAGTTATTTTTGTTATTGACATTTTCATCAGGTTTCTTGTCCAGTCGGGCAAGTAAAATACTCTCTCACTTGCCCCTTTAAAAAATCTACTTGGCGTTAATCGAGCCCTTTGGTTCCCCCATGGTATACTTTGGCCCTACACGTATTACAAATTGCGAACTTTGTTTCTTCTTCACTCACAGTGAAGAACTTCCATCCCGATGACGTGTTTACATGCAGATGTGAGCATAGGTGTGATGTCAAAACAGACCGGCTCGGAATCGGCAGACTGACCGGCCGGTCACCGGTCCGGGCCGATCATGCGGAAAATCTGCTAATTCCGGTCCCTGGCCGGTCGATCGGTGCATCTCTACATAATACAGTAAATGCACATCACTATAAAAATACCTAAGCTTGCTTGAAGACGAATTATAGATTATAATAATTGTTTATTTGGTTTCATATTTCATTTTTCAATGTCTGTCTCTTCCCTGTGCCTCTGAAAGAGAGCGGGAGCGGAACTGATTGCAGTAAACATGAAATTTTTTCTCTCTCAACAAGCTATTCTCACAATTTTAATGTCATTATTAGCACCAAAGTAACAGTTTGTCAATTACATGTAGGTCAGATATGGAAAGGAATAAATATGATTATTCAAAATGTCTTTGTTTTCTAGGTGGGTGTTCACGGCATTAGGATAGAATTTTTTAATGAAAAAGGATCAAAGCGCACCGCCACCTACCTGCCAGAGGTTGCGAAGGAGCAAGGTGAGAATAAAATACACTTGCCTAATTTCTGTCCGTGATGTCTTCAGTTACACTGTAACAGCAGAAATAAGATGCAGACCAAAAAGTAACAATCGGTATGAAAGAACATAATTGAATTTCTGTCTCTATAGGATGGGACCACATTCAGACCATAGATTCCTTACTTCGAAAGGGAGGTTACAAAGCTCCCATTACAAATGACTTCAGGAAGACTATTAAATTGACCAGGTGAGAGAATTGCCTTTTCTAAACTGTTTTTTTTTTTTAAATCACAGGCTATTTATAAGTAGATAAATATTTTAGTACTTGTGTCCAGTGCCACAAGACAGTGTTGGGGAAAGTTATTTTTTAAAAGTAATGCATTACAATATTGTGTTACTTCCTAAGAAAATAACTAATTGCGTTACTTAGTTACTTCTTATGGAAAGTAATGCACTATGTTACTTTTGCATTGCTTTTTCTCATCTGGTCTGTGCTTGCTTGTTTTTAATATAAAAAAAAATCTATTTTTGGAAAAAGTCAGGCTGAAGAAAATGTAAAAATTCAACACTCTTCAGCAATAAAAATATTAAACGCATATGTCTTCTGTTTTTATCTAAAGTCATTTTTGCTTTTTAGTGTGGTTGAATTGGATCATCGAAGGTCAGAAGCAGAGACAATGGTTAATAAAATGTGCTTAAATACAGGAAGGATATTTGTGCTATTTAACTTAATTATTGCAGGTTTGTGTCATATTCTGAGTTTGCATTTCAGTTAGTGCTGTCAAACGATTAATCGCATCCAAAATAAAAAATTTTGTTTGCATAATATGTGTGTTCTGTGTATATTTATGTATGTATACAGTATCTCACAGAAGTGAGTACACCCCTCACATGTTTGTAAATATTTTATTATATCTTTTCATGTGACAACACTGAAGAAATGACACTTTGCTATAATGTAAAGTAGTGAGTGTATAGCTTGTATAACAGTGTAAATTTGCTGTCCCCTCAAAATAACTCAACACACAGCCATTAATGTCTAAACTGCTGGCCACAAAAGTGAGTACACCCCTAAGTGAAAATGGCCAAATTGGACCCAACTAGCCATTTTCTCTCCCCGATGTCATGTGACTCATTAGTGTTACAAGGTCTCAGGTGTGAATGGGGAGCAGGTGTGTTAAATTTGGTGTTATCGCTCTCACTCTCTCATACTGGTCACTGGAAGTTCAACATGGCACCT